TACTGTGAAAATCTGTTATCTTAATGCAAGATCATTACACAAGCACATTCAAGATATATCCACAGATATGAATTATACAAGTACAGATGTTAATATTTTTGCAGAAACAAGATTTATTGAACTTGATAATGATGATTCGTACTTGTTGAGTGATGACAAATACAGCTTGTTTAGAAATGATGCGCCTCCAGGAAATCCATCAAATGTACGGCCTTTTGGAGGGACAGCAGTTTATAGCCGTCTTGACTATTATCCAGGATATCCATATTGTGAGAACAGAAATGGTGTAGAAATAACAATTTTAAGGTTCATGGTCATTCCTTATGTTACAATTGTAGGAATCTATAGATCACATGCAGGATCAATAAAAAACACATGTAGTACACTCAAACATACTCTAGAATCACTACAAACTGAAGTTAATGTATTTATAGGAGACTTTAATGCCAACTGGTTTAATAATTTCAAATGTAAACCACTATATAATTTCTTTATCAGACACAATKGTTATAGACAGTTAGTTACATGTATTACTACAGATAGCAATACTTGTATTGATCATATATATACCAACTTACCTGAACCACAAACAAGCTTTCAAATTTTAGAGACCTATTTTTCAGATCACAAAGCCATTTGTCTTTTGATAAACTGTTCCAATACAAATTGATGATTAGCTTATTGATATCCTATTAACTATTACACTGATATGGTATTTCCATTCTATTGTTTATGTTTGTCTCACCCTAAACATATACTTGAGATAAAATTTTAGATTCAATATTTATGTTTCAATTTTGATCATTTTTCGCATGTTCTCATTGTGCGTGCAAAGCAGCTATGCTATCAACTTTAGTGATAAAATGAATGATAGTCTGAGTGATRTTCAGAGTAAATCGAAGGTCATTCGGGTGTGAATTGATGCCCATTTACGCATGAATCAAATAGCATCTAGGAAATGGAATTTGAAACCACAATGTATAACACTAATATCACTTCACTAAATATATTATTAAACTGGAAAAGCCCACATCAAAATGTAAGAAAATTCCTTCTTCTACACCACCTTCAAGAGCCAAAGTCTGCAATACAAAACCATCAAGAGCCCAAGTCCCAAAGACAGGAGCTAAAGTCCCTGCTACACCACCATCAAAAGCCAAAGTCCCCACTACACCACCATCAAAAGCCCAAGTCCCAAAGACAGGAGCTAAAGTCCCTGCTACACTACCATCAAAACCCAAAGTCCCCACTACACCACCACCGACAGCCCAAGTCCATGCAGCATCACCATCAGGAGCCCAAGTGCCCACCACACCACCTACCTCTCAAAGTAAGCAGACATAGCCAGCTTATTTTTAGCTCCTTCTAAATGGAAGCAATTGCACACATTAAACACTTCTCACTCTGTAATCTTATGTTACATACAAAATCTATAARGTAAAATTCCATCTTTTCGTGCAGTTTGAGAAAATCGTGATAACTTTTAGATATAAAAAACCGATAAGTGGTTTTCCTTTCACTTTTGAAAGGGATTTTAACTCAATGTAGAATACAAAACTGTACATTCTGAACATTTTTTWATAATTTGTACATGGTTTAGTTTCCCATATTTGTAAGGACTGATGTCTACTTTCTATTTTCTGAGAATATCACAATTATTGCTTTATTGATTATTGAATTTTAAATTTTTTGTGCAAAATGTATTTTTTGCCATTTTTCTCCAAAACCAACAGAACATGGTTCTATTCAAAATTAATTCTATTCAAAATTAATTCTATTCAAAATTAATTCTATTCAAAATTAATTATCTCAAAAACGGGCACAGAACTATACACTTTTCATTTCGTTTTTCCATCCAGAGATAAATTATCTATAACATATCTTAAAAAGAGAAACCTTTTTCACTTAAATAGTCAGAACCCTTAACACAAAYATTTGATTAARATGTATCGATTTTGCTATTGCACTCCTTGTATTAATAAACTATCTTCCAAAGCTTACAGTAAACAATTCTTTTAAATTATCATTTTGAAAGAGATATTGAAAAAACATTTCTTTCTATTTGAATTTGCAGATGTTGAACTACAGGGTTACATCCATACTCTTAGTTCCATCAAGAACGCTAAAAAGTCACCATATTTTGWSTGCCTTGTTCAGACAGATGACACAACCAAAGTTAGAGCAGTATGCTATGAAACAAAAAAACGAACCACTTTGCAACAAGCTTATAGCTCCAAGTCGCCTGTAAAAATTAGTGGAGTCAAACGATTACCAAGCACCAGTTTCACTGACTCGTTGGAAGAATACAAAATCGTTAAAATGGCCAAAMTTACCCCAACTATGATAGMTTTTGAGCACAATCCAACTGTAGCATCTACAGTCTACAATGTTCAGCAAGCATTTGATGGTGATGTGTTCAAAACTATTGATGTTACAGCCAAAGTTATGAGTAAAGAAGACAACAAACAACCAATTTTTTACAAAGGAAAGCAGCTAATGAAAGCTGATTGCCTAATTGCTGATCATACTAATACAATAAAATTAACACTATGGGAACACCTTATTGATGTAGTGGAGTGTGGAAAGACATATAACTTCAAGAATATCAAAATTAGATCATTCAATGATGTCAAGTACCTGAGTACAAATGAAGAAACCACCATCCAGCTACAAGGTGACATCCAAGATATTAGCATGAATACTGAAGACATAACCCTTGCCTTAAACATCACTGAAGGTAAATGTGTTGGAGCAAAACTCAAGAGAGAGCTAGCATGCATAGCTTGCAATAGTTGTCTTAAAGAATCAGCATCAGATGGCATGATCACATGTCAAAACTGTCAAATGACCACACTAGAGGAAAATTGCAACAACAAGCTTGTGGGCCAGTTGATGATAAAATCAAAAACAGGAAAACTT